TACCTTAACAAGTGACGCAATTATTTCAGTGGCCTCTGTCCGAGTACAACAGAGTCAACCATGAAGACTAAGCAGATTTCAGGGCAAGTCGGGGATAAAGTTATAGAAAAGCACAGGTCAGGAGAAGGGAAAAATGACATACTGAAGTCTCTGAATATCTCTGGGAACACAGCAGCACAGACTCTTCAATCATCAAGAAAAAGAAGAGGCATCGTACCACTAAGAAACTGCCTATAGCAGGCTGTCCCTCCAAGCTGAGCAGCTGGGCAAGGAGGAAACTGGTGAGGGATACCAACAGTGACTTTGAAATAATTCCAGTTCAATGGCTGATACCTCAAAAAAGGCCCATGGTTCGAAAATATCACATGTACTCCACACATCTGACTTTTTTAACAGAGTTGAAAACACATCTCTAGGCAGCAGCAATGTATTTAATTGATACTGCAATCATGTGGTAAAAATAATTCTGGTCAAAAAGGACAAGATTGTATTTTTTGGTGCAGCACTCTTCTCATTCCTACTGTCGTGCATGGCACCGGTAGCATAATGGTTATGGGCTGCTTATCATCGGCAGGAACTTGTCAAGATTGAATTAGCCGAGAAAGTCGGAAATAAGAGAGCCAAACGTGTGTAGGCAAAGATGGTGGAGACTTCTTGTACCCAAAAAGACTTTAATTCTGAAATTCTGAGTCCCATGTCCTTTGAGATGATGGGCTCTTTTGTTTGTTAACTAATTCTTGATCCATGTCCATACATTTCCTTAGATTCCTATGGCTTTTTTGGAGGACATTTTAATTTAAACCTTTTATGAGGTCCTGTCTTTTCTGATTTGCCAATCTTGGAGAGCGTGGTCTGTCATTGATTAACTGTGTTGGGCTATAATGTCTTACAGTTAGAAGTAAGTACAGTAGTTCAGAAGTTATAATTTACCATCCGTTATCACACCGGACAGCAAGTAACTGAGCACTGCTTTAAATCACCCTACATTATACTGATAACATGTAAATGTTGTTGTCTTGATAATATAGATTCCTTTCCGTGTTAGTCTTTATTGATTTTCACCAGGCATGACATTGAGCAAGTGAAATCACCTCATCCCTTGTACCCAAACAACTCTCACTAATGAGGTCATCTGCTGCTTAGACAAGAGTCTAAGTCGCTTACTTACAGTAAGAGTCCTACAGTGATCAATTAAACAATCATCATACCTAATAAAGGTGTTAAAGTAACTGAAACTATGTCAAGAACATTTCATCAGTATCTCAAATCAGATGTTTATTTTTTTAATAAAACCAAACTGTACATAAATGGAGTGTGAAGTTTTTTGTACATTTAACAGCTACGTTGTACTGTAGTGCCATGTGAAGAACTCCTGACTTCATTAGGCATGTTTGAATACCTGTATAAATTATGAATAGGGGCAGCATGGTGGTTCAGTAGCTAGCATTGCTGCCTCGTAGCACTGGGGCCCTGGGTTGAATTCCAGGCCAGGGGTGCTATCTATGTAGAGTTTGAAACACCTTTGCTAAATCATTTGGTTTGTACTGTATATAGACTTAGTATTAACAGTTTTTTTTTTATTTGTGTAATTGTCTTAAGTGGTTTCAGCACTGCAGATTAGCCAAAACAAATTCCACAGTGATTTATGTGCTCAAAGGAATTCCCCAAAATAATGGAAATACAGTGATACATTAACATAACAGTGATTTTGGAAAACTAGAGAAACATTCCTGTTCAAAGCGTGTTTTTATCTGTGGATAAAGAGGGTATTATCACTAGATAAGGAAAGCATTAGTGTATAATTGTTGTTTGCAATCTGGCAGTTAGGTTTGGTTTTACTAGAATGTGCCTGAAGTGTTAGTTGGAAAAAATATTTAGAAACAGTGAATAGATGAAGACAACCTTTGAGGTATCACAGTTCATATAATTATTGTATCTATAGCTGTGAAGGGCTAAGTACCATAAATGTATATTTTAAGGAGGTTTGAAATGGGAGGCAGGGAATCAGAGTTAATTGTAGTACAAAACTACACATTCAGGTTCATAGCTAGTTCAATTGTATATAATAACAGCATCTTAAAGAATACAGCTACATTCTTCTTTGTGTTGAAAGGATAATCACATGAACAGTGACTGGCGAGTGAGTGGAGACAGTTGGTCCAGACTTTCCATGGTTTGAACAGCACTATACTTATGTTGGCATGTCTGAAAATAAAAATTTGTCCGACTTGAAAATTACTTTTGACTCTGTGCTTTGATTGCTACAGTATATGTATCGGGTGTACATCATAAGCATAATTAAATATAAAAAGATTACTAAATAATAATTGTGATTTGATTAATTGTTTGTGCTTAAAGTTGGTAATAGTTTATTGTTTGATTATGTCAGTTCTATTGAACATCTCTTGTTTTTGACATCCTGCTGTTGTAGAAGTGCTTTGCTTTGGGTTCCTCCAATGGCTTCCCCAGCAAAGGAGCCTGTAAATTGTGCATATGGAGGTCTGTGGCCCTGATGCTCCAATTTGATCTGGATCAAATCAATCTGCACTTTGCAAGGGGTTTGGTAAATACTCAGGGCTTCCTTGAAAAAAAATTGCATTGTTTTTTAATAGTGACATTCATTGTAAATAAAAGTTAATAATTAGGGCAATCCCTCATTCATTATTAATTAATGCTTATTAAACCATATCCTTGTGAAGGGTGAAGGAATGCCTGATCCCTGAAACAAGGTTTCTCAGTTAATGAGGTGTGCCCCCAGTGTGAACTGCTTCTCAAACCAAGTGATTTTGTTCAAGTAAACTTTGTGCATGGCCAATTCACTTTTACACCATGGATTCCAAAAGCAAGTATTCACTGACAGATGTGTATGTGCACATTCAGTAAAATGTCCAGCTAAAGTATATAATGGATTTGAAACAGACTGTAGATATAAATGACATACAGGTATAAACATTCTCGGTCTATGTTGTACAGGCAGGATTGCAGTTCCTGATCTGAGGGATTGTGGGTAATTTACCAGAATAGGATCAGTCAGAGAAAGTCCTAGGATGTGGATCCCGCTTGAGGAAAGCCCCCACACAGTGGGGTTAAAAAAAGATGTAATGCGCCAGCTCTTGTTCTATCTCTGTGTTGCAGAAGCAAAGTGGATGAAACCGACAGTGAGAAGTCTCTCGGAAGGTGTCATGACTTAGAGTTATCATGATTGTCTCTCATGTTTGATGTAATGTGGGCTTCTGGACAGTTAAAACAGGTGGTCCTGTAACTTCTGTTCATAAGACAAGCTGCTTACTGTTCCTTATATGTAACTCGTACTGACAAATCTTACACAAATATCTGAAAATGAACAGAGTGCCTCCACATATCAGATAAAATCGTCTCATGATGAATTGCAGAATTGTGATTGAACCTTCACCAGTTGTGTTGGTACAGTATTTTATGTATTATACTGTATGTTTTACACTTTATTAACTACCATTATGAAATTTGTTTGACCTTTTATTACCTTTATATCACATTTTAAATCCTTTTATTAATTAATATCAGCGCTACATTGCTCCTTTAAAATGAACGTGTTATGGATAATTGCATCTATATGTGTCACTATGAGAAGCTCCTGAGCCAAAAAATCATTTAGAAAACCAAGAGAAAACCCTTTAAAAATATGCACTTTCTTAAAAAAAATTAACGATCTTTATCTTTTAAAAGCTCTCACCTTAAACCTCCCTGTGATCTGCATTCCAGTGCCAATATTTACATTCTTCTATCCTATGGAATGTAAAATCAAATGCTAAAAAGATATGTCTGTTGGTCTAACTGAAATCAGAGAATTAGAGGATTTCTAGAAAGCTTTGAAATGCAGTAAACCAATAGATGTATCACATGTCTTAATACAGAAGCAGATTAAAGTTAATAATGTAACATCATTAAATCAGGTATCTAGAGCCAAAACTGTGTATTTACAATATCAGCATATTTTAAGATGGCCACTCTTCCTTGTTTAACTGTATAAGAAAGTATTTGTCAGGCCAACAAATACTACAGTAGCCAAAGAGTGTTTTTTGTTGTACCTGTAAGTCACAATCAAATGGATAGTGTGCGCAAACATTTTTCTTTTTTTTTGCACGGGGCAATGGAGTTTGGAGTTTACAGTAGTTATTGTGAACTGGAATCCTATTTTCACCTCACATTGTTTTGAGTCAGCTTTTTCATTTCCTTTTTCCCTCAGGTGATGATAAACAATTGCTGTTGTGGTAGGGTGTCCCGTGGAAGGGAAGAATTGGAAAAAAACACCATCACTCTATTCAATTTGAGTTTTCCAGTGTCTTGCGAAATTAGTTGTCTGTCAATATACCAGCATTATTCAGCAATATACCAATATTCCTCCTGATTGCTCTGAGAGCTCTCCTATGAGGAAATTATTGCAATATGATTTATACCATTTTACAGCTATATCACCTTCTGTTTTACACTCTTCCACTTCACTGCACAAGTATTCAGAGCCTTTTCTTTTGTTCCTTTTGCTCACAGAACTTTGTGCAGTTTTTATACCAGTTTTTTACATCTCAAAGTTAAAGTCTGCACCTATCGCAATGAGCTCACTGTTGCCATCTTGGCTTTTACAGGCTGCTGCTGTTGCACTGCAGCAGGCCAATCACAACACTATAAAATCATGGAACAACAAACAAAATGAACTGAACTGTCTGTTGCCAACAGGACTCAGGGCATACCAGTCATGTGATCCCCCTGTTCCACATACAATATAAATAACTTGTATCAATAGTAATATACAAGGAAGAAGTTTCACTGTGATATATATTTATAATTAATTACAACGAAGATGACCATGAACAGAAACAAGGTGACCTAAAGTACGTTGTATCATAATACGGTTTCCTTGAACTACAGTACACTCTGACAACATCCTTCTGAGTGGTATTCTTTATGGCAAAAACTAATCTTATCTGTTTCAAATTAATGTTGCTTTGTCTTCTTACTTTCAGGGTAGTTTTGACCACATTGGCCCCTGTGCTGGGAGAGACTGCTCTGTTTGCCAGTGCTTCCCGGAAAAAGGCTCTTGGGTAAGGAAACATTTGGCTCTGTCAATGATGTGTGTGATTTCAATTTAAAAGGCTCATCTTCTACAATATAATCATGATAAACAACCACTTACAACCTCACAAATGTGGCACTTATTATACCAGACCTCTGTCAAGTTTGTGCAGTGCACAAGTGAGTGAGTAAAGTAATGCTGGCAGATTACAGATTTACTAGCCCAGGATGATAAAACAAATAAAGTTCAAAGTTTACAAAAGTTCTTCTTTTTAAAAGAAGATGGTGTTGAGTAGTAGGTTATGAGATTAGTAAGATGTAATTTGGCATCTCTTGTTTTGCTTTGTTTTATCATAGCATTTACTGTAACTTAATTACTGCCACCACTCTTTCTTAGGCTTCTAAGTTAACCAATACAGATTGTAAGGAGTTTTTCCCACTTCTGAAACTACACATGTTCAAAGAGCAGGCAGCTAAGAAGATTTGTACCCAGGAGGTTTAGTTAGACAAAAAAGCCATTACATATGAAACAATAATTGAGGTTGCAAGATAGTCTCCTAAACCTACATACGGTATTGGAACATCTTTCAGACATCGTTTTCTTATCAGCTGCAGCATTGTTTGAATTGGCAAATTTAATTAACAAACAAAACTTTGCAAAATTTCTGTAAAGGTGTTACTATAATGTTTATACATACATGATGCAGGTTATAAACCAATTTCAGAAGCATGGAACTACTCCTATTCAAAATTTGGTCTTTGGTCAAAACTTTATAAATGGGATTTTAGCGCTGACAGGATATATGTGCGAATTCCAGTATGGATTCCAGTATGAGTTGATATGGTTGTCTGACCTCCATTTCTTTCTGATTTTGATATGTGGCCACAAAACTCTTGCTGTTTTAAATAAGCCAAACAGTCCTATTGTAAACATATATAGTTTCTCAAACTCTGGGAAAACAGGAAGTTCAAGAAGCCAGTGCCATCAGAGGAAAAAGTCCTTACTTAGCATTCATGGATAGTAAACATGGATATATCTGTAAAGGGAAAATGTGCAGCTGCTTTGAAAATGTGCAGCTGTACATTCTCTACATGCAGTCTGCATTTGTTTGAAATTTAAAGGAGAGGTCATTATTTACAGTAGAAAAGAAATGTGTATCAGGGTGCTTCACTTTTGTCCATTGGTCATGCGTTTGCTTTTGCTGAAAGGAAAAGCTTTTCTTCATTGAAGTCTTAAACGGTAACTCTATTGGAGTGACTTTGCTGCCTCTTTGTTTGAAAATCATCATATCAAGTACATAAAAATATTCACCCTTTAATTAGTGACGGCAACAGCCATCATCTGTATTTTTAAAGAATGCCACAGGATTTAGAAAAGTCTCTTGCTATTAATGAGAAAGACGCTCGTAAATCAATACCAATAATTTGCAGCTGTTATCTGGCTGCATTCTTCTCTTTCCAGGCATGGTATTTATTATTTTTCTTAAACTTAAAGATCTTTTTGAATTATAGTTATAACTCTTAAGGTTCTAATTAGAGCTTCTGGTTTAGTTAATGTAAGCGAGGGTGGTTTTTCTATTTATTAATCAGGTCTCTGTGGGAAGCATTTGAACTGTTTGTGAAAAGTAAAATCTCCTGCAGTACTATGAAACCACTGACTCATACTGTACTAATATGCTAAAACAATATTAATTTGCTTGCTATGACTAGACATTTTGGCGATCAGATAATTGAACTGCGCTATACATCTTGTATGTCATATTATAGCAAGACTTGCGTAATGCTTTTCCTCTTTTTTTGATTTTGACAGGAAGTCACACACCTGTTTTAGCTTCCTTCTGGATCACAGATCAGACAGAAAGACCTCATATTGAATACTCACAATGGATTTTTCAGGGATTGCATTTGGCGGTTTGCACATTGTATTGTACACTTTGTATTTTCTTGCATGTCACTTGCTCTGTCAGACATGAGAGTCCTAGGGTCAGATAGTAAGTGCAACAATGTTTAAAAAATAATTTTAAAGCTCTATGAAACCTTTTCACAGTTTAGACCATTTTCTTCAGTCAGATCTCATTAATTCCAATATTTGTCTATCGGTTATGCTGTTTGCCTTAATATAGAACCCATTTACTGTTTGCATTCTATGATTTCGAGGTAATCAAATACAAGTCAGTTGGTGTTAATGAAAGGAGACATTTCTCATGACAACCAATGGATTGGTCATCCACTGAAAGGGAACATGAGCTGGATGTGGAACATTGTGAGACGGGTTAGTTTTACTCTGCTGATGATGTATTAAAGAAATAACAATTGATAACACTTACATAGCACCTTTCTGGACACTCCAATCAAAACACTTTGCAGGTAATGGGGACACCCCTCCATCACCAATGTGCAGCACCCACCTGGATGATGCGACAGCAGCCATAGTGTGCCAGTATGCTCACCACACATCAGCTCTTAGTGGGGAGGAGAACAGAGTGATGAAGCCAGTTCATAGATGGAGATTACTAGGTGGCCATGATTGGTAAGGGCCAATGGGAAATTTGGCAAGGACGCCCCCCAGGATGCCTTTTTACAGTATAGTGTTCCTGTCACTGTTCTTGTATTAGCAGTCATGCTCAGTACAAGAGGAACTGCAGATTCAGACATAGGGTGTCTGTGCTTGGCTGAGGAGCCAGTGGTGCGAAGCTGACATCTGTGGGATTATGGATGAAGTCAGAGTTATCCCTAAAAGATTCTCTCTACAACTGGAGAATACAGCAAGAGATGAATCTGAATGGTTGGGTGATTTTCAGGCAGGCATACATTGATGCCAAAAGGTACAAGAAGGGGCTTGTATCTAGTGAGGAGGAATTTGAAAAAATCTTCCTAACAATTCTGCAAACGTACCTTAACTATTCCTAATCAGAACTTCCAAAATTCTAGTACCTTAGGAACAAACATGATAATTATGTTAATAGAAGGCTAAGATTGACCTTTTAAACTTAGTTTAATAATTTTTTATAATATTTAGAGATGTAGTGAGATGTGCTATTTACTGACCTGAAAAAAAAAATGTTTTTTATATCCATAGAGCAGGGAGCATTGTTTTTATCTCTTTATCTGCTAGTTTCATGTCTATATTCTGTATGGTACAGTACTTCGTAATTCAAAAAAGGCATGTCTCCCTCTGAAGCACGCCCATCTGAGATAAAACCCTTTTTTATTTATTTCTTTTTGAAGATCTTACCTCACCTATGAAAAAAAAAACAAAACACACAATGGCTTACTTTGCACTCTTGATCTCAGAGAAACGATGCATGGACTTACAGGTACAACAAAAAACACTCTTTGGCTACTGTAGTATTTGTTGGCCTGACAATACAGTTCAACATATACAATATTTGAATTATGACATACAGTATGTTTAACATTCCAATTAATTAAACCAAACACACTGTACTGTATGCATTGTGCATTAGATATTATGATATCACAAATCTCCTTTGATCCCAGACTTACTTAACTTATGTTGCCTTTGAATTCCAACAGGAATGAAGGTCAGAAGGCATCACAAAATCCTATATACAGTATTTACATAGATATTGAAGACTGCTAAGCATACCAGACTGGAGACATTTGATATGCAATTCAACAATATCCTCAGGCTAGATGACAAACTTTTTAAAAATGCTCCATAATGCCATCATGTTATTTCACTCACTCTATGAGTCTGTTTTGCTCAGAGAGAGAAAAAATTCTTACGAAAAATGCCAATTCTGACTTTTATTAAAATGCCTTAAAAGGGACTAGCTTGATTCAGAAGGTCAGTACACCGGCAATTTTTTATTTGTTATTTGTACAAGTCCCAATTTGTAATTCCAAGAATATTAATCATTAGTTCATACACTTTTTTAATTTTAATGCCTAAAACTCTTAAATGGTACCATCCTTAAAAGTTGCCAGTAGGAACATGTGTTCATGTACTATATGTTTGAGGCAATAATTATGATTACAATTGATTTCAAATCTAGGGCAATCCTAGGAGAGGTTAAAGGATGACCTCAGATCAACAGTATAAACAATATTTCCAAATATATGGCATATTTCTAGCTAAGGCTAAAGGAGGATTTTAGAATCAAGTAAAGACTAGAGTCTGAATTAAAGAAAGTTGAGAAAGTTATGACATTTGTCAGGGAATATTGGAATGTTTACAGATTTTCATAGAGGTGCTCATAATAAGAAACATGTAATTGATTTTTTGATCGTGGATGTATTGCCAGTGCATAAGATGCACTTGGATTTATATTACTCCAAAATACCTTTGTCTGAGAGGGTGAATTGGAATTACCTTGAAAAATGGGCCATACTTAACTACTGTAGTCTCACTCTCAAGTGCACCTGGACAATAAATAGTAGACAGAATGGGTACCAGCTAGAGGCATTTCCTGTGAAAAAAAACTAGAACTTCTTTGTTTTTGTATGAAACATTGTAGGAAATAGTGGTTATTTGTAGGTTCTGTGTATGCACCAAAACACAGATATTTCTTGAAAAACTGTTGAGCTTTCTCATATTTTATTTTCCATACATAGAATCTTGACAATAGACCTGCTAAGCTTTAGTGAAAGCTGGCACAGAATTTTGTTACAGGGCATACCAAACATTTTCTGGCTTTTAATGTCCCAGTCTTTCTGTGACACACCAAATGTCTTAAAAAAGAACCAAACATTTTTTGTTCCCTACTGCAACATAGTCTTCACCTTTATTGAGTAATATGTAACTTAACCTTGTTTACTTGAATTTCAGTTTGGAATCTGAGCTTGTTTCAATGAAGATAAATGAAAGTTATTAAACTAAAGTACAGGAGTGTTAACAGCACCTCAGTCTCACTCAGCTGATCCTAAGCATAATCATAACTATGTACAGTACAGATTTTGAACACCAACACCTCCCTTTACATTCATCTCAAGCATCCTTGGCGTACCCACCCCATCTCCAGCTTGCAGCTGGTTAGCTCTTCTCTCTGAATAGAGTTCTACCCTC